AAGTCCGAGCGTTGCCAGGCGAGCCGTTCCGCGCAAAGTCCAGCGGCGGGTCGCGTCCCCAGGCGAAGTCCGCGGGTCGGGTCGGGTTGACCCGAACCCGAAGCGGGTCGGGTTCGGGTTTGGATAATCGACCCGTTTATAAAAACGGGTCGGGTTAACCCGAACCCGAATATTACCGGGTCAATCCGGGTTCGACCCGAACCCGACCCGTGACCCGAAATTGACAGGTCTAATATCAACCATCAACTTAGTGAGGTGAAATTAATTAATTACAAAGTATTCAAAATATATGATTGAAAAGGTCGTTTCTTTACTAGATTGATCTTGGGAACTGGGAAGGTAGAATAGACGGTCATGATTTATTTTGTGGGGCTGATTTTGGGTGAGGAAATTTGTGGCTCGACTTCTGTGAATTGAATGCTCAATATACAGATGGACGTTAAAGATTTGGAGGGGATTCATTTTCCTAAGTTAATGCTGCTTGGTTTGCAGAAGTTAGGTGGATCATCCATGAAAATTTCCTTAAATATTTAAAATAAATAAATTCTCTCTCTCTCTCTCTCTCTCTCTCTCTCTCTCTCTCTCTCCAAATAGTATTTAGAATTAGCATAATCTTCCAAGTAAACAAGTATAGAAATTTTATTTGGTTGAGATTTGTGTTAAGATAAAGTTTTTTTTAATTGTTAGAGATAGAAGTCAGAGTGATTGTAATTAGCGGGCAAAGATAGTCAGAGTGATCATAGTCGGCGAACAGAGAGATTATTACGTCCATGCGGTGTTCAGATTATTCGGAGATGAATCTGAACGCGCCACATCACCCGTATGCACTGTGCCTCAGGTGACATGGTGCGTCCGGATTCGCCTACGGACGAATCCAGGCGCCGCTCATTATAATTTTCAAGGCGGGCGACGGAGGTCGGAGGAATTGTAGTCTGCAGGCGGAGAAGGTCAGAGGTAGATTGGATTAATATTAAGTCAAAAAAATAAAAGTTTCTTCATAAGATTTTTAAAAATTGAATATCCCTTTAATTTTAAGAAACAATCTATTTCGATCAAAGAATAAAACAAGATTATAAGATTATATCATTAAACCTTTTATTTTAAGAAATCTGTGTTATTTCTTTTTTTTTTAAGGGTCTAGCCCTAAATTTTATTCAACAGAAAGGAAGATTACTACAGTCACACAAAGCCAAAAACACACACTTACAACAAAAGAGCCCAACGTTACGAAACGGCTAGCTTATAAGACAAAATACGTCGCATAAAAGGCTAAAAAAAATAAAGGATGCTACACCCAAAAGGACTCAGTATGAAAATCCTGCACCCACAAAGTAGCGAAGAGACGATCATCCATTGGCGGAGTAAGCCACAAAGCAACCAGTCGAAGTTCAATAAGCAGCACCAAAAGGCACAGAGATAACCACACTAATTAACCACTAAGGTTGCCAGCTCAAGGTCAACCCAGGATTAAGCAGAATTACCTCATCATAGTCCAGCAACCAATAGAAAAACCAAACCAAGCACAGCATGAATCACTATTTTTTTCTTAGATTTATTTTTAGACATTTTCCCATCACCACTAGAAATAGCATGATCAACAAATCTGCCTGCCATGGAATTAACATATCTTGTGGATCTTGAAACTCATTTGCATTCTCATCAACATCGTCGTCTGACATATTTAACTAATCTGAATGGTCCACACAAGAGTTACTCACTGAGAAGAAGGCCAAATGGGCTTTCAACTCAGCATTGGACACAACCGAAATAGGGATATCAACAAAAGTTGTCGGGTAAAGCTAAGTTAATAGGACTAATTGCATCCTCGATCAGAGTCCCTTTATGAACAACCAAAACCTCAACACCCTTAATAGCCACAGCATCGCAATTACCATCCCGCTCTAAAGGATTAGAGTCTAAATCCAATAGACCATCATAACTAAGAACATCAATAGAGTTTGGAGTCAGACTAACTGGCTTCAAAGAATCGGGAAAAAATTATTCCTCGTCATCAACATTAGTGGGAGACAGAATTAGGATAGAAACATGATTAACCAAGCAAGGGATATGTCTCATGGCACCCACACCACAGCAATATAATCCATGCCCACAGTATCCAAATTGATACAATCACCTTCCTTAAAACCACTAGAAACAACACTGATAACAGGATTACCAGACTACCCATTACACTACAGGAAATTCAGCCATTACCGGCGGCTTTGACCGGCTGTATTAACGACGGTTTATCAATATCTGAAACAACATGGCCCACGGGAATCAAAGCCATAGGTTCAGCATCACAACCTACAATCCTTAGAACTGAAGTTTCTATCAGAAGATCAACAACATTCAGATCCTCCCCAACCTTCTCCTCATTAATAGCCAATGAAGAGACAACCAAAGCTTGACGTATAGCATTCCCAACATGATGAGAATGCGGATTAGATAGAGAAGTAGATGAACACTCACCCTAAGATGACCAAGACGCTTACACGACTCATAGAAATCAGGAAAGACCTCCATCTGCACCTTTTGGATATACACAAACTCCTTAGGCCCAAGCTAAATTTGATTCGGAAAGCTCTTAGTAATTTCCAGCTCCACTAAAACACAAGGGATGGCCTAGAACTAATAGAAGTGACATTATAAACCTTCAAGAGTCGACAAAACATAGAACCCAAAATTTGGAGGATACTGGGAGAGAAAAGATGGGGTCTCGGATTGGGAAAGGAAACCCATATCAAAATCACC